GGCCCACATCTAATTTTTAGAAATCACCAAACCAAACAAACTTTAATATCTTGTTGCTAAGGTTTAGAAGATTAGCTTTTAAGCTACCTTTCCTTGGCTTTGCCTTAGGTTTGAGGATCCTGCAGCAAGACATTTTTTTTTTTTTAATTTTTTTTGGTTTTTCGAGACAGGGTTTCTCTTTGTAACTTGGCACCTTTCCTGGAACTCACTTTGGAGACCAGGCTGGCCTCGAACTCACAGAGATCCGCCTGCCTCCCCCGAGTGCTGGGATTAAAGGGGGGTGCCATCACCGCCCGGTTTAGCAAGACATTTTTACCTGTTAAAAGATTCAATCTAGGTCGGGGTGTGGTGGGGCATGCTTTAAATCCCAGCACTCAGGAGGCAGAGGCGGGCATATTTCTGAGTTGAAGGCCAGTCTGGCCTACAGAGTGAGTTCCATCCAGGACAGCCAGGGCTACACAGAGAAACTCTGTCTTGAAAAAAAAAAAAAAGCCGTGTGTGGTGTCACAGGCCTTTTATCCCCGCACTCGGGAGGCAGAGGCAGGCAGATCTCTGTGAGTTCGAAGCCAACCTGGTCTACCAAGTGAGTTCCTTGTCTTGAAAAACTAAAAATTAAAGAAAAAATCAATCCAAACAATTCCATTTATTTTACTGTACCTATGGATGTTACCTGAAGGAAAGAATCAGGACTGTTTTCACATTCTTCCTTCAGAATCCATTTCCATTCTTCATACTATTGTTTCCAGTCGGACAGTGGGGCTGACTGAGTTCAATCAATTTCTTAAACTTGGAAGAAGTGCCACTTTTCCAAAATTTCCTCTCTCTCTGTCTCTCTCTCTCTGTTTCTCTCTCTCTCTTTTTTTTACTCAGGATTACTGTAAGCCTCTCCCGTTATTTCAAGTTTAATTTTATTCTCAGGTATGATTCCGCAGTTTTCCTCATATAATTTCTAGATTTTTTTTTCCCTAACTAGAAGTTTCATTCCTTCTTGTTTTATATTCTTGCTGCTAATGTGAATGGAGTCTTACCTCCCCCCCCCCTCCCCATTCAAAGCTGAACCCGAAGGGCGATAGGATCTCTAGCACTTCTCTTGGCTGTGAGACTCGATGGTTCCTCGGTTCCATGACAACGTTCTATTCCCGCCTCCATTTTCCGACCCTGCAGGAAGGCGGCAACAGCGAGCAGCGGCGTACAGGGCCCCTCTAGCTGGCCTTTGTTCTCCTCTCGGTGCTACTGCGCAGGCGCAGTCGCCTAGGTACGGTCCCCGCCTTCCCGACCGCGGGCCTAAGCGCCGTAGCGCCGGCGCACTGGCGCGCTCCGTTCACACGCTCCGCGGCCTGTAGGCGCCGCGAGTTCCGGCTGTCCCCGTCACCGCCGCTGCTCCTGGAGGTCGGTTGCGACGAGTAACGGCGCCGGGACGAGCTCCGCGCCTTCGTGTCCGATATGTACCCGAACTGGGGCCGGTATGGCGGGAACAGCCACTATCCGCCGCCGCCGGTCCCGCCGCCGCCGCCGGTGGCGCTTCCTGAGGCCTCGCCGGGGCCCGGGTACTCCAGTTCGACGGCCCCCGCGGCCCCTTCCTCTTCGGGCTTCATGAGCTTCCGAGAGCAGCACTTGGCGCAGCTCCAGCAGCTGCAGCAGATGCACCAGGAACAAATGCAGTGCGTGCTCCAACCCCACCACCTTCCTCCGCCTCCGATGCCACCCCCGCCGGTGATGCCGGGGGGCGGCTACGGAGACTGGCAGCCGCCCCCGCCACCGATGCCCCCGCCACCTGGGCCAGCCATCAGCTACCAGAAGCAGCAGCAGTACAAACACCAGATACTCCACCACCAACGAGATGGACCTCCTGGTTTGGTTCCAATGGAGCTGGAGTCCCCTCCTGAATCTCCCCCTGTACCTCCAGGAGCCTATATGCCCCCGTCGCAGACGTACATGCCTCCACCTCAGCCACCACCCTCGTACTACCCTCCTTCCTCAGCTCAGCCCTACCTGCCTCCCACCCAGCCGTCCCCTTCACAGTCCCCACCTTCCCAACCCTATCTAGCGCCCACCCCTACTTATTCTTCCTCCTCTTCCTCCTCGCAATCTTATTTGAGCCATTCCCAGCCCTACTTACCCCCTTCTCAGGCATCTCCTTCCCGCTCCTCCCAGGGCCATTCTAAACCCCAACTACTTCCACCACCGTCCATCCCTTCTGGGAATAAAACAACTGTCCATCAAGAGCCTTTGGAGAGTGGGGCCAAGAACAAGAGTGCTGAACAGAAACAAGCTGCTCCTGAGCCGGATCCCTCTACAATGACTCCACAGGTAAGAAATCACCTGCCAGAGTCGAACCTTCCTCCACTTAGGAGGCCTTACTTGAGCAGGCCTTGGGGCTTGAACCGGCTAGCACCTTTCCTAATTCCAGCACACAGCAACTGGCTCATTCATACTACAAAAGAGTCCTTAAGAGTCGGGCCTGAAAGCGAGGCTTTTAATTGACTGTGGATTACTAAAAGAACAGTAAAGATACTACTAGACCCTTGAAGAGTGGTGGGTTGGCACTAGATTGATCTCTCAGATGTATGCCTTGGTTTCTTTGACCTGCGTTCTGGACTTACTGCAAAGAGCTTTGTTTTAAAATTGCTTTTGAAGCTGGGCGGTGGTGGCGCACGCCTTTGATCCCAGCACTCGGGTGGCAGAGGCAGGAGGATCTCTGTGAGTTCCAGGCCAGCCTGGTCTACAGAGGGAAATGCAGGAAAGGCGCCAAAGCTACACAGAGAAACCCTGTCTTGAAAAACCAACAACAACAAAAAAGGGTTGATGTTTAAATGCATATAAATTATTATTTACTGATTATAATTTCTTAGAACAAACAAAACATGCAGGGGGTCCAGAGATAGCTGTCAGTTTCCAGAATCGAGTTTTCAGCACAAGAAAGATGCAAGTCTGTCTCATCATGAGCATCCCAATTGGTGTTGCAAGATCATGTGGACTACATGGGTCCCTAGATACTTGATCCTTTGAGGACCAGTTGGTATATTTTAGGAATTGATTCATACATCACCAACTCTTAAAGATAATTTTAACATAAAAGAAACATTTTAACATGGTTAATTTGCTGCATTTTATTGTTGTTACCAGTCACTCCAAAACAGTAGCGGGGAATTTGGCTGAGGTTTAAAAAAAAGTTTTGTGATAGCTGTTCCTTTGAGAGCCATATCTTTAAGACAGCTCTTTGAAGATGTGCTTTCCACAGAACAGTAAGAGATTGACCGGGTTGCAGGAGCAAGGATGAAAGAAAAAGGGGAGAGAAGCTGGGCATGGTAAACCGTGCCTACATTGCAGCATTTGGGCGACAGAAGCAAGAGGATGGAGAGCTTGGGGTCAGCCAGGGCTACATAGTGAGACCCTGTCTCAAAAATAAATACATGGGAATAGATAATCTGCTCTATTTGGAAAACACAGTAAATACTCGTTACCATAAATTGACTAGGGGAAAAAGAGAGTCTGGTGGCATGCAAGCTCAGGGTTATGTATAAGATTCCGGAGATAAGTGTATCTTACTTGAATTTACAGTGGTTTGGTATTGAAGAGCTACAAGCTCCGCCTAGGGGACACTGATAGAACAGTAGGATGCGTGGGTTTACTGTCTTAAATCAAACTGTACTAGCTCTCAGTTGGTTCTTCCACATTGCCCCCTTAGGGATAGAATTTCCACTTTCTTGCTAGACACAGTGGCACAGATCTGTAATCCTAGTACTTGGAATATTGAGGCAGGAGGGTTCCAAGTTTGAGGCCAGCCTGGGCTATATAATATATCGTCGACCAGCCTGTCTATTTGGTGTGTTGTTGTGTGTTGGGATTGGACTCAATGCCTTAGGCATGCTAGTCAAGTGCTCTGCCATTCAGCTACACCTCCAGCCCTGTGTGCGTGTCAGATTTAACCCAAGTACTTACTGTGAACACTGCTTTTGGCTTTCTGCCTCATCTGAAATGAACTTCTGTCAATGCTGTGACATTCGGTGCTTCTGATTCTTGCTGAGTGACAGGAAGTAATGGAAGGGCAAAGTTTGAGGTCTGGGTGTAGACCAGGTCTAGAAGGGCCTTGTCGTTGGTTAGGGCTAGAATTCATTTGGTTGAATGCTTGCTTAGCATTCTTGAAGCCCTGGATTATATTCCTAGCACTGCATAAACTGAAATTCTAGTGCTCAGGAGGGAAAGGCCAGGAGGATCAGGAATTCAAGGCCATCCAGGCTACAAAGTAAGTTCAAAACCAGCCTGGGATGCAGGAAGTGGGATGTTTTGCATGTCCTTGGCTTTCTTAACTCTATGGAGTTTATCCCAATGTCCTTAACTTTTCTCTTCCCTTTAAATTGAATACTTCCAAGGCACATCTCAAAATTCAGAGTCTCTGTAAGCCATGTGATTTGGTTCAGTCTTTCAAATTATAAGGCCTTTGCTGTGCTTATCTTAGTCCTCTGCAGCACCTGGGACAGTGCCTTCCAATTTGTAGACCCACTATAAAGATTTGTTGAATAAAATTCAATAATTATCATGCTGGGTAGTGATGTACGCCTTTAATCCCAGCACTCAGGAGGCAGAGTCAGGTGTATCTCTTGAGTTCAAGGCCAGCCTGGTCTACCCATGAGTTCTAGGATAGCCAAGGCTATGCAGAGAAACCCTCAAAAAACAAAAAAACAGAGAGAGAGAGAGAGAGAGAGAGAGAGAGAGAGAGAGAGAGAGAGAGACTGAGAGAGACTCGGTTTATTAGGTGATAAACATTGTATGTTTCTGAATATTTTCCATTCATACTTTATTGTTGGAAAATGTCCTTTTGGGGGGGGTTGTTTTGTTTTGTTGGATTTTTTCAAGACAGGGTTTCTCTGTGTAGTTTTGGTGCCAGTCCTGGATCTCCTTTGTAGACCAGGCTGGCCTCTAACTCACGGAGATCCGCCTGGCTCTGCCTCCTGAGTGCTGGGGTTAAAGGCGAGCGCCACCACTGCCTGGCATGCCATTAAATTTATTACTATTGTATATGATGTGAGTGTGAATCTGTACATGCCACAGTGTGCATATGGAGGTCAGGAGATGAGAGGAGTTTTGGGGAGTTAGTTGAGGCTCAAGGGATTTGAACTTAGGTCATTAGGATGACTTGTTATGTGCTTTTACCTGCTGCCCCTAAAATTTTGTTTTATGGTGAAAGATTTAAACATTAAGTAGAGAAAATATCATGAATACCCCTCATTTAAATAGCTATTACAATTTTGATGTAGTCTTTAAAACATTTTAAAGTAAATCTTACATCTTATGCCATTTAATCATTTTTTCTTCATACGGGGATCAAGCCCTAAGGCTTTGTGCATGCTAATTGAGTATTCTGCTACAAAGCTACATCCTCATCTCCTGTGTTTCTACATTTTATTTATTTATTGATTGATTGATTGATTGGTTGATTGGTTGATTGGTTGATTGGTTTGTTGTTGTTGTTTTGAGACAGGGTTTCTCTATGTAACAGCCCTGACTGTGCTGGGAACCTGCTTTGCAGACCAAACTGTTCTTGAACTCACAGAGATCCACCTGCCTCTGCCTCTCAAGTGCTGGGATTAAAGGCGTGAGCCACTATTGCCCAGCAAAAACATTACATTGTATTTATTTATTGTGTATATGTGGCAGGGATGGAGGGGTGCAGGTGTGCTGCTGTGTGCATGTGGAGATCAGTGGACACGTTGTGGGTGTCTGGCTCTCTCACAGGTCTTCAGTCTTGGCAGCAAGCACTTTTACCTGCTGAGCCATCTCTCTGGCCTCAGGTACCTAGCTTTAAAAAGAAAGAAAAGAAGGGGGTGGGGGCAACCTTTCATTTCTTAAAAAATAAAACGGAGCCTCACTTTAGCGTTGGCAGACATGGAACTTGCTATGAGGACTAGGCTGGTTTCCAACTTACAGAGATTTGTCTGCTTCTGTTCATTTTAAAGGCATGCATCACTGTGCTGGGCCAAAACCGTTTGTTTGTTTGTTTGTTTGTTTGTTTTTCATAGCTGAGTTTCTCTATGTAGTTTTGGTGGCTGTCCTGGAGCTCCCTCTGTAGACCAGGCTGGCCTTGAACTCACAGAGATCCATCTGGCTCTGCCTCCCAGGTGTTGGGATTAAAGGCGTGTGCCCCCACTGCCTAGCCCAAGACCTTTTTTAGGTTAAGCAAATTATAAAAGTGTAAGTCTTTTTATACCATCTAACACTTAGTCCCTTTAGATTTCCGTCTCTCATTCCAGCAGAATTCAAAGGAATTCCTTGTTAAATTTCTCCAAATTGTCTCAGTTATATTTTGTTGATTTGTTCAAATTAAGATCCAACATAGGATAAATAGAGATCCTTACTGTATAGATTAGGGTTTCTCAGTCTCAGCACTATAAACATTGGGGGCCTTTTGCTTGAGAGATGTGTCCTGTTCATTGGGGGATGGTTACTGATGTCTCTAACAATGGCCGCTAGATGCCAGTAGTAGCCTCCCAATTTTCAGAGCCAGAAATGGTCTTAGACATCTTGAGATACATCACCATAAGTTCTAGAGGGAAGAGCCATCCTTCTTTGAGAACCCCTGATCTAGATCAAGGTTTCCTTTTTTTTTTTTAACCACATGCCCCTGAATTTGAGGGGAAAAAAATTGTCATCCTCTAGAACATCCTACATTCTGCTTCTTCTTCTTCTGTCTTATTGTGTCATTTTACCTGATCTGAGTCTTCTATTTCTTTTTTTATAAATTAGCTCCAAAACAGTAAGTAGACTGAAGTTCAAAATTGTTATTTGCGGAGTGTAGTACATAGGTGTTGTGTAATGTGTATTTGTACCCATCTCGAGGGCCTGGTTGTCGCAGTGTTCTGATGCCGAGCTTGATCAATGTTTAGGTGGGGACAGTCTGGTCCCTCACTGTGAAGCTTCTGTCAGTCTAGCATCTAGTGTTTCATCTAGTGACTCATCCATTGATAGTCTCCACATGAGTCTGTTGTTTCCCTGGAGTTTTCAGTGGTGGAATTTTAAATTCCCTCTGCAGTTTCTTCTTAACTTAGTGTAGGGAATTATGTGAAGAAAACTTTCACTTGTGAACTAGAGCTATTTGATTGGAAATACAGTTAGTATAAGAACAAACACTGCTGTTTTCCCATTTATTTTCTAGATACCAGAGTAAAGCATTGATGATTTAATGGACTATTCTTTCTGAAGAATTAACTTTTCTGTGTTAATAGGTTGAGTAGTTATGATGTATAGTCTTTTTAATGAGTTGTGGTTTTATTTCTTTCATTCTCCAAATAACTCATGTAAAGTGTTGACAT